GAGGCCGACGAAGGAGAAGTTCGCCTCCGCGTGGATCCTGAGGGGGCGGCCCCCCCGCAGCGCCCCGCGTGCTCCGGGCTCCCGCGCTTTGCTTTTCCCCTCGGCAGAATTGGGGCGTTGAGAAGAGGTAAGGGCGCTGGCATCGTCTGCAGATCCGTTTTCCGTTACGTGAAAAGGCGTATCAGGATAAGTTAAATGTAAACAAACACCTGATCCTGAGGCATGATCCCCTCGGTGCCTGCTGTTCCCTGCGGCTGGCACGGTGCCTGCGCTGGACTTGGCGCGGCACTGAAGGTGGTAACGCGCACGGTGCTCCGGGTGTTGCTGAGCAGTGCTTGCACCAGGCAGGGCCTTTTCAGGTTCCCCTGCCCGGCCAGTGAGAAGCCGGGAGGGGGCACAGCCAGGACGGGCGACCCCAGCTGGCCCCGGGGCTATCCCCGTGTTTCCACTACAAATCATTATCATCATCATTCTTATCATTCTTACTATATTTTATTTTATTTCAGTGATTAACCTGTTCTTATTGCAACCTACAAGTTTCCTTACTTTTGCCCTTCCCCTTCTCTCCCCCATCCCACTGGGGGGAGGGTGAGCCAGGGTCTGTGTGGTGCTTGGTTGCTGCCTGGGGCTAAACCACGATACCGGATCATACGTGTGACAGCCGCAGCTCATGCCTCGCGTAGAATCCATGACAAGCATGCAAGGGCTGTCAGCTGATTACTGCAGTTGCCCTGGACAAAGCTTTTGCTGTTATCGCAGAACGGTTGGGGGTGGAAGGAGCCTCCGGAGGTCATCTGGACCACCCCCCTGCTCAAGGAGGGCCGCCTAGCAGATTCATGGAGGCTTTGCAGTTGGAAAAAAAAAAAAGGAAGGTGTCTGGAATAGAGTATCAGATTCCAGGAACATTCATGAAAACTGCAAAATTGAAAGCAAGACTTTTCTAAGAAAATCGAATTTCATATTTGTATCCTGTGAATTCTGGTTCCTTTATTTGCTATTTCAAGCAAATAGTGAATGGAATATCTAATTTCTTGGGAGCTACAATCATATTTCTAAGAATTATTTTGCATAAACAGAAAAAAATACAGCTTGCATCCCAAGTACCATTTTTAGGTGTCGCAGTTAATTTGACCCTGGTAACTCATGAGAATGCAGTCAAGCTGACAGAAGATTACTATTTCAGATGCTTCTTTGCCAGGGTTGAGAACATTTCTAATATTTGAGATCATTCGTGTTTTATGTATGTCAGAATTTTGATTTTCAGCTTGATAGGTTTGTAACTGATTCACATGAATGGCCTTTCTGAATATAATACTTAATTTAAAAATGGAAGTTAGTAGAATTCTACAGAAATGGGCAGTAATGAGTTTACAGCATAGCATGTATTAACTAGGAATCCGATCATTTGCCACATACTGACAATTTCTCGTCTGTCATTATATCCTTTGTATTTCAATCTGCATAAAGTTTGGTAATCAGGTTAAAAACTCATCTTGTTGGTCAGAAAAGATGTTTACAGACTGATTTATTTCCCTCTCATGCTTTCAATGGAGATAGGACTAATTAACCTGTTTAATAGACGGCAGTGGCACAAACGGGTGCTGCTGTGGTTGTAACTGATGCAAGACAGTGTAGCATTAGAGCTGGGTAATGAATCTAGTGGTAGGCTAAATTACCGTTTAGACTTTGCTCCTGCACATGAGACTAAGGTTACATGCAACATGGCAAACTAGATTATTTTGTCTTTCTGATTCCTGCACATAATCTTTTCTCCCTCTATGTTAGGAAGGGCTCGTTCTGTGTAAAGAGAGGTAGGTGGTAGGACATGGGTGCTGAAACATGCTGGGTCATTATCACCTTTCCCACAGAGATGTTGAAAATTCAGTTACAGGATGCTAAAAGAATGGCCAATTGAATATTTATTTAGCATCCTCACAGAGTACATATTTGGTTTGAGAATGTATTTCTAAATATTAATTACTTGATGTTTCTACTAAAAATTAACTTTTATACTCTTATACAAAATTTTAAGGCTCCAAGTGTTGTGGCAGTTGGCATTGTTTCAGGTTGTACCTTTGATTGCTGGAGGGCTGTATTCAATATAGGTCATTTTTTGTACGTAGCACATGAGTTCTGGAAGGGAGGGCAGGGGGCAGAGAGAATTCTTGAGCTGAGAATGGGTGGAGAGCAGGCCCCTGATGCTTTCAGTGCTAGTACCTAACCTCTGTGAGGTACAGGTTAGTAACTGCTAATTTCCATAAGAAATTGCATGAGTGAATGGAGATTCTGCTATGGATGGTGGCAAGAACATCACATATTCCAGCATCATTCTTCATGAGGGATGAAGAAGAGCAAGAACTGGATTTTCAGGAGAAAACACAAGGAACTAAGTTACTTCCTGCTTCATTTCAGCATCACAGTGCCTCGTGAGTAAGGTCTGCTGTTCAATACCTGGTTGAAAGTTTGTAGATATCACCCCACTGCTAACTAGAGTGTGTAATGTCAAACCTGCTGTGTCCTGCTCACAGTACTCCTGGACCATCAGAGGTCACATTTACTTGAGCAGGTACAATTTAATCAAACAGTGATTTCATCGCTCCTATGGTAGGTAATAGAGGTGAGTGACAAAACTGCAATTGTGTCAGTGGATTCCATAAGCTCTTCTACTTTGTTTTGGAATCGCTCAATCCAGGTGGAAACTAGCTCTCATTCTCAGGGATTGGTTTAGTACAGTCATAGCTTGCCCCAGAGTCCTCAGGTCTAATGAAACAATAGCACTCACGGGGGGGAATCTCAGTGGAAAGGGAAGAGTGGGTGGTTTACATTTATTTCCTTATTCCTGGGTTTGCCCTTCTCACCTGTGCATGTTCAGCACACAGGGTGGGGGCTCAGCCCACATTGCCACTCACAAGGGACCAGCTGACCTGTGTGGGGAGAGAGTTTTTTCTGAGTTTCACTAAGTTTGATGGTATTACGGTCCCCTTTTGGGGAGCGGAGTGGCAAGATTTGAAGCTTCACTGATTTCTTCAGTGCCCACCGAGAGACAAGTTTTTCAAACACTGTACTTAAATAGAAAAGAGAGGCCTAGTCCACTAGTGCAGACATGAAGAAGTACGCCTAATGAACACAGGTCTGGGCAACAGTGGTGATGACATCGAGTTATAGCGTAGATAAGCAAACTATGTGCTTAGTCCCCGTTGATGACACTGAAGCTAGGGTCCTCAAAAAACCTAATATTACATATATGGAAAAACACAATTGCTAATATGAAGGCTGCAAGTATATGTCAAAATCTAAATCTAATTGAAGTGTTCAATACAAAGACTATGTATTGCAGGTTTTTTAACTCTGAAATATATCGAATGTTTTGTCTCTTGAGCATCTCTTTACAAAATACCTGGGATTTATGAGAAAAGGCTTATACATATACAGAGTCATTTCTCCTTCTTCCCCAAAGTAAATTACAGGTGGGTTCTTAATACAAACCTGGAGTCCTATGATTCTGTTTTTGTGGGTGTCACAGAATATCCAGTTAATTGAATTAACTAGTGATACATCTTTAGACTAAAACTTTGTGCACACCAATTTGCAAACCTGTTATGAAATACACTTTTATTTATGTTTAGTTGTGAGCAGAGAGGTACATTTCAACCACATTCTGTTGGAAGCTTACATGCCGCAGAGCTTCCGTGGTTTAGTGCAATAGTTTGTCCTAACCTTCTCATGAACACAGTCACTATAATCAGTGTTACATTTACCACATTTGCAGCTCACAGCCACAGGGTAGGAATAATAAGGGATGGTGTGATGAGGACAGCCTGGAATCAGTGCTGTTTGATATAACATCTCTTTATATGTGCACACGTTCTGGGACAAAGCACTTTTGAGTAGCAGCTTCTTGCCATTGCTGTCCTACAGAAGAAAAAAAGAAAGGCATTGTTTCAGTGAAGCATACATGAGCATCAGAAGACTTCCTTTGGTGTTTTCTCAAATGTGCAGAAAGCAAACCTCTCTACTCTTAGACTGGCTCTGATATTTTCAGCATACTTCTGTTCAGATCTGAGATTTTGAATCTGCATTGAATTGGCATTGACCCACCTTGCTCATATGGTTTTAACTAATCTGCTTTGCTCAGAGTGCTAACAGTGCTTTGTAATCTGTATTGGCTGCCTACTGACCAAGGTGGAACTTAAAATGCTATGTTGAACAGTGAAGCTCAAGCAGAGTGTTCAGCATGCCTACATGCGAGAGATTCTCCACAGCTAGCTGTCATAACAGTCATGGGAGTAAAAGTTACCCAAGTCACTTACATTAGAGTGGCTAAACATAATCATCTTCTCACCTGTTCCATCCTGACCCCACAGACTGACTCCAGAGGCTCTGCAGCAACAGCAGCAAGTCAGTTCTCTGCTATGCCACTGGTGTTATAAACTCTAGTTCCAGAGGCTTGGCATTTCTCACCCATACCTTTCCAAAAAGCTAACTTGAACACACAATGATAGTGTGATTTTTCTGTCTGTGATGAACACTCTTAGAATTGGATCATCTACACACCATTTTCCAGTGCAAACAGGCACTTGTTTTGCAGTGATGGCCATTACAGAAACAACTGCCTAAAACAGAGTAATGCCTTGTACCCGAGTCATGCAAAATCCAGCGCAGATGGTGGTGTTGATGGCCAGGCAGTAGGCACATTCCCTTTTCTCCACATGGATTATATACTCAGAAGGAGCACAAAGTGATGCTGTTTGACTGAAAGTCAAGCCAAAGAGGAGAGACATCACAAAGAAGGGACTCATGCTAGATAGGGGAAAAACAAACAAAGCAAACCCTAAGTAACATTACATGTACCTTCCAGCCATTTTCTCAGAATTTGACAAGAGCAGTTACAATAGTCACAGACTAGAAGTCATCTTGACTTTTTTTAGCTACAGCCTGACAAATTCTTTCCAATCTCAGACCTTTAATTGAAATAGTACTAACCACTAAACAGAAAAGAAGGGTAACCAGGCCATTAACAACATACAAGAAATTAACTTTTTCCCCATTAAAGCACATTGCATGGACCTTTTTGCTGATGAGTGATAAAATGCTGCCACAGAAAAATAACAGGAACTCAAGTATTTGAAAATGTGACATATGTGAGAGAAGATGAGCTCTAGAATTAACCAGAGATGCTAAAATAATCTCACTGGTTTAAAAGTCATTTTCTGAAGAAAGCTTCTCATAAAATGTTAAAGAGAAAAAGAAACAGCTGTGCATCTCAGGCTTACCACTGTATTTTTTACTTCCCAGTTGGCTTAGAGGCATGATGAAATGGGAACATGCCAAGAATTAAATACTAAATTCAAGCAAATTACAACGAAGAACATCAGCAAAGAGTTCAAGTCAATGAATCCCCACTTTATCTGGCTGCTGTGCTGACCTCGCTTCTCAGACCTGCTGGGACATCCTGAGAACAAAGCTTTGATCGGCTCCGAGACAATTAAAGGGTCCACTCTATAGCCTCTAAACCACAAACTTTAAATGACAGTGCCTACACACACATGGACATCACCCTCTAGTCTCTTCCAGCTGTCAGTTTCCCATAGCAAAAGCCATTCATTGCACAGTCTGGTTTACCCTGTAGCTGCAACAATGCAAGTCTGGAAAGACCAACCTCTCGTCAGCTGAGTTCTTCCCTATTACAGGAACCTGATTCTGCCTTGAGCTGGGAGAGGCAGTGACCCAGCACAAGCTCTTTGTGTGCTTTATACTCTCCAGGCTAATTCCAGTCTGATCTTACTGTTTATATAATTGCATCTGAATTGCTGCTTTCTTATCGCAAAATCATCTATTGAAAATTCATACTGAACCACGAAGCAAATGTGATAGGAACAAATGTGTCCATAATATCCTAACCTGGAAACTGGAGCTGGAAATCTAATTATTTTAACAGTCATTCTCAGGCTTTTAAACTAACCACTGCTTTAAAAAAATTATTGATTAATTTAGTCACTACATAGGAGACCAACATCATGACAGGAAGGCTAGCGTGGAACTGGAGTCATCCTGAATCACATATGACTTGTTCTACACCTATATTTTGTGGACATTTAATGAAGTCTGGTTCGCTCAGTTTGCTCATTACCAGGCAGGCACAACCGAGAGATGCAGTGCTATACACATCTCAAACGTGTATAACAAATCTCAAACCAAAGCAATTGCTCTACAGTGTGGCTAGGTACAGCCTGATTTACCTACGTCAACAAAACACACTGAGAAATGAACTGGCCTTGAACCTACTAAGCAAATACTGAAGTAACAAGCAATTCCCTCTGAAATACTAATTGATAGGGGAAAAGCTTAAGAAACCACTCCTTGTAGTACAATGATAAGCAAAATACTGCACCAACACCAGTGAAACAGAGATGTCCACAGATGAGGGAAAAAACCACTTGCATTTAGGGCTTTGTGGAACACCTGGGAGGAGCAAAAGAAAGAAAGAGTTGAGTCAGCATGCATGTCTTGCACTGATTCAGCACAAAGCCACTGTCCTCTACTGCTTCATCAGTGTCCAGCCAGCCTTCTCACTATGCTTATTCACTGCAGCTCTGTTAACACCTACCCTTTCAGTTAATCACCTAACTGCCATTTGGACTTGGATGTGTGTCTTATGCAAGTCAACCACATCCTTGATTTACATAGCCATAAGAATATGAAGGCATATGTCCTTTGCTGCTTCAAAGTGCTAATTTCTCTGACTTGAGAAAAATGGGTGTAACTGCAGGGAAGACACACGACACACATGACACATTCGAATTAGGGTTAAAAAAAGGATTAAGAATTTGCTTTAAGAGGATTTAGGAAAATACTGTCTGCAAATATAAATAGAAAAAGATGTTAACAATGCTTGAAAGTCTGTCAGTGAAGGTAAAAAGAGAATGCAACAATAAAAACTATAGCAATAAATAAAGGAAAACAGCAATCACTGTTAGAAGTGAGAAAATGTAGAAAACTCACATGGGAAACTGGAGACTAGGAAATAAAATTTTGTCAGGACAGAGGCCAACCGTAACGTCAAGGGACATTACTAGATGAAGACAAGCTGTTGATGCAAAGTGCAAAGTCTTCAGTAAGCACACATGCATTCAAAAATGTAGTGGCAGAACAACCAACATACGTATTTGCAACAACAATTATTACATAAATGGTATAAGGAATAAATCAACATCATTAGCTAGCTGGTGCCAATTTCAGCAAGTCTTGGAATACTGAGGAAATTTCAAAACATTAAGTAAAGTGCTAGTATTATGCCAATATTTAAAGAGAGTGTTGACCCAGGTAACTCTCAGCCAGCTAGCCTGACATCTACCCCTGATCAATCAGGTAAAATAACAGAAAGTTGATACAGGATTTGAGCAATAAAGAATTAACAGATGAGAACGTAATTAAGGTCTGTCAAGATGGTGTTACATAAAATAGGTCATGCCACACAAACCTGACTTCATTCTTTGAGGTGATTACAAATTTGGTTGTTAAGGCAACTACATAGATGCAATGTCCTTAGTTCCACCTGTCCAGGGCCCTACTGTCATGAAGATTTAGAGCTGTTAGGCAGAGTCCAATGTGGTGTATGCTGAATGCCGGCAATTATTAATCACTGGAGCAGGTAGTATAATTTCAGCAGTGCATTTATTCACTGCAACTTTTTCACCCAGCCTCTGAATGCACTGCAGAGTATTGCAAGTATATGCGGGACCAAGTATTAAGAATGAAAATTCATTTATCTGGAAGCACAATGAATTACTCCGAGTTGGACATGGAGACTAATATAACTACAGCTGCTCATACTCAGGTTAGCTCCACGCTGATAGGGACACAGAACCTCTTGGCTACTGCCTCATCTTTCCTGGCATCACGTTAACCTGCCCATCTGTCAGAAATGCACTAAGCATCACCAGAACAATAGACACATTCACATCTCTTCAGTAACTTACACAAACTATTCAGCTGGCAGAAAAACTTTTCTTGATTCTCTGTCTGGATATGACCACAGTGTTCATTCACTACTGACCTCTCTGACTTCATTGGAATGAGATCCCACTACCTACTGGGAGCAGCAAGACAAAAGACTGGCAGGACGAGAAAGTCCAGTGTGGCAATCTGAGTGCCTGAGGCTTCTTGCATACAGTTTCCTAAAATCCATAGTTAAAATTGTGATGCTAATGGATCCATTTCTTTGGTTGCCCCCCTGCTGACCTCTAGAGTATTCAGTGATAGAAATTTTTAATATGCTTTTACAGCCATCAGCTTTGTATCCCTGTTCTGGAACAGCCAGTTACACTGTTAATTATTTATCTTTAACCTTTCTGTTAACTAAACCAATCCATTCACTGACATCAGTTATTTTAGACTTTCATTAAGTGGAAGACAGTATGCTGACGTTCTACAAGAAGTGTTTTAAGTGATCTCTGTAAACAGAATTTAGTAATCATAAAAGTCTTGGGTTCATTACCCAGGAATCTCTGTAAAGGATTAGAGAGATTCAGTGGATACCAGAAGCTTATACATAAAACTAATTTAATAGGATTCTAAGATAAAAGTGGGAACAATGAGGAGAAGCTATCGTTATTCCTACGCACTCTTCCCCTGTTAGTAGTACAACACAATGAAAACTTTGTGATGTTATGAGCAGGTTAACTCAGAGCAGAGTAACTCGTTTCCACTGCATATAGCACTGTGGATATTAAAATAAAAACATGTCCATGCTTGCAAACAACAGAGCCAGAAGCTATGCTGATGAAAAACAGACAAAGCCAATCAGATTTCTAAGATGATTAGTATTCTGGTAGAGGAATTATTTCCAATGCTATCCTGTGCAGACCTCCACTGATAAAAGGAAGTAAGATCCTAATATGCTGCCATAGAAACAAGTGGTTTTGCCAGGTTTTCCATTTAAACAGACTGGCTGCTGAATTTTAAAAGCTAATCTGTCTACTGCAAGTCTCTGTAACAGCTTGAAACATAGCTCTCATCTCTTAAATTTATAGATTCACAGATAACTGCCCTTCTTTCTTTCCTAGGATTAGCTGCAGCATTTCCTATCAACCACAGATTAAAACAAATTCTGTTTGTTGCATCTCATATGCCAACAATCTCCATTTATGGTCTGAAAATACTTCATAATCCTATTTGCTATTTGGCTCATACGATAGACCGCTTGGTGTCTGGTTTCATTTCTTTGGAAAGTGCTAGATATTTCTGTTATAATATATGACACACAATTGCTACACTGAGGACAGAATTTAAAAACCCACCACTGACAACAAACCAGAAGCCTTCTGCAATGTTATCAAGGATGAATGACTATACCTACCCAATATAACAATGTTAAGGGGTAAAAGTCACATTTTTCAGTTTCTAAGGGATTGTTCTCCTGATTTGACTGGCAATCCCACAAGCAGTCAGTAGGTAATCAGAGATGATCTCCACTGATGAAGATCTGTTAGGGAGACTTGACACTATACATGTACAATTGACTTTTTTAAGATCAGAATTTAAGCTAATTATGTACGCTCAGTACAAACATTGGGGTATGTGCCTGTTTCTCCCTTTAGGTTTTGGGCATGCAGTCCTGTCAGATGCTGCTCTTACCCAATACGCATTCCTCTCCCAGGCAACCTCACATACCCACCTGAAAGAGAAATGTCTACCACAGCTTGACAGACTGTGAAGACCACCAAAGTACATGTCTCCCAATAAGGAAGCCACTGTGAGACTCCAACTAAAAATTAAAATGGCTGTAAGGAAGGAAAAG